CTATGTCTCCTGGGCGTGGACCAGGGGACGAAATCACTGTTTTTGGGTTTGGGTATCTCCGCCCGACTTGAGGATGGTCGGTCGTTTCCCAGGCTGGAGTTATTCTCCCCCTGCTGCTCCAGGATGTAGAGGCGGGGTTCCTGCCAGCGTCAAGGTCAGGCTCTCCACGCCGGCGGGGCCTGGCATCCTGATTCCGAGGGGCAGACCGAGGCAGAGTGTCCGGAAGCTGGGATGGCCTGGCCTGTGTCACTGCTCATCCCGGGAGGCCAGTGAGAGCCTTCAGGGCCAGGCTGCAGCTGTCACAGCAGGAGGTGGCCCTCATCTGTCTGCCCACCTGCTTGTGAATAGCTGGCAGGTGAGGAAGGCCGTGCTCCCTGCAGGGCGAGCTCAGGCGAAGCGGACAGAAACTGGGGAGTCTGTGAGAACCCAGAGGAGAGCAGGGGCGGCATTGCTCTTCTGCTGAAGGGATTACTGTCCGGTCCATCCTTTCGTCTGTCTCTGCCTTCGTGTTTTAATTAATTAATAGGAGAGCAGTCACCAAACGCCTTCCACGAGCTGGGGTGCGGAGGTGCTAGTCACTGTCCTTGGCCATACACTGCGCATTCTCGCCTCCTGTCTTTGCGAAACGCAGGCTAGGAGAGGTTGCTTGCCCATTTTACAGGCACAGGGATGGAGACTCAGAAGATGAGTGACTTGGCCACGTCCCCTAGTCCGGGAGGGGTGGGCCTGGCTGGACTCCTGTGCTCATGGTGATGGTACAGAGGGAAGATACAAGGACATTTTTGGATTTCATATTATTGATGTAAACTTTGCCAGGGATGTTATACACCAAGGGCCGGCTACCCCACCCAGCCCCGGGTCTGTGCTGGGCACTGCGGACCCTGAAGTGACTCCAACCCGTTCTTGGCCCCTGAGACCTTCTCTGTCTGGTGGCTAAGGCTGGCCTGCCACTGACAGTGACGCCTTGGTGGAGATACGTCCCAGGCGCTATTGTGAATGAGGCCGGAGGAGAGGGTGCTGGTTCTGCCCGGGGTGGAGGTGGGCTGGCGGGAGCACAGCGGATGGAGAGGAAGGGAGTTGTGTGCAGACTGGCTCCTCAGGGATGGGTGGTTGGACATTCGATAGTTGGATAAGGTGGAGGAAGAGCATTCCCAGCATGGAACAGCACGTGCGAAGGCATAGCGGAACAGAAAAGCCTGTGCAGCTGGGGGAGCAGGGTGCCAGCTGGGTCTGGGCTGTGCTGTGAAGCCCTGATTGTCACACCAGGGAGGGGTGCTTCATCCTGTAGGGCGGTGGCCTTGCAGTGGGGTCTCTGGACCACAGGGCTCCCCAAGATGATTCAGGGCTGGGGAAGGCCCAGGGCATTATGAAGAAAACTAAACAGGGTGATATGATGAGGGTTGGCGTGCAGGTTAGTTTCGATTCGGAAGTCAGGGAGATCCTCCCTGAGGAGGTGAGAGCCCCGGAGGAGGATAGCCCTGTAGAGAGAGCGTGGGGCAGAGCACAGGGAGAGGGCGGAGGATTCCAGGCAGCAAGTGCAGTGCATGCAAAGGTCCTGGGGGCAGGGAGAGCCTGAGGGGTTCACATGGAGAGAGTGAGTGAGAAAGGAGGTCAGAGATGGGAGATGTGATGGGGAGGTTGCAGGGCTGTACTGTGTAAATCTTTGTAAAGAAACAGGATTCCGGGGGGCTGTAGGCAGAGGAGAGATGCGGTCTGATTTATACTTGTGAACGTTCATTCTGGTACCATCTGGAAGATGGACTGGAGCAGGATCCAGGGGAGCAGGGAGCCTCTTGGAACAAGAGATGGTGGCAGAGTGAGGGGCGAGGTGGGGGACCTTTGGGGTGCCCCGTGGGTGATGGATTGGAGGATGGAAGTGAGGGATAAGGGATGGGCCCAGGAGGGTCCTGAGATGGGTGCAGGGAGGACCTGCGTGGAGGTGGTTTGGGGGAAACCTGCTGCTGAACAGATTCTGGCTGTGGGCGCACCAGTGGAATGCCTGGTGGTGGCTGCTTCTCCAGCTGCGTGTGTGCCGGAGTCTCGAGCCAGAGACGGCGTGCAGGAGGGGCGAGGTGGGGAAGACTGGTGAAGCTCAGAGGCCGGATGAGATCAGCCGGGTCGGGATGTGGATGGAACGGGAGGAGGCCCTGGGGCTGAAACTTCAGAGTGGGTGCCCAGGAGCGGAGAAATTGCCTGAGAGAGACAGAGGCGGTACCTCGGAGGGGGGGCCTGGGGAGCCGCCTCTGGACGAGGAGCTGGGCTCCGCCCGGCCCTGCTGCCCAGGGTTTGGATGGTACCTGGCTCCTGTGCTGATTCCCCCTCCTGCTCCAAGTGGGTGGCCCTCCCAACGTAAGGGGCCATGCCCCTGAGTTCCTTTCTGCTGGAAATGGGGGAAGCCAGGTGGGAAGGCAGGAGAGGATGCTGGGAAGGCTCCAGGCACAGGCTGAAACCTTGGGAGGGGCCAGAAGGCAGCCTGTTCAGCCCGTGGGGAAGCGGACCCTCCGCTCAGGCTGGTGCTTAGATGCTCAGGGAGGACCTTCAGGATCGGCTGCATCAGGTCGCTTGTGCACAGACATAGGGAAGCAGAGGCCAGAGATGGGGAGGGGGAGGCGAAGTTGAGGCTTGGACTTGCAAGCCCACTTCACCTGTGGAGTGAGTCTGGTAATAATGCTCACGCATAATACCTGTGGGGCTGGAGGTGCTTGGACTCATGCCTGGCTGGTGGCCGCCACCCAGGGCGTCCCCACTGTGACTGTGCCCTGGTGGGGCCCCCGTCTCGTGTAGCCTGGCTGAGACCCAGGGGTCTGTTGCAACTGCCTAATCTCTGTGAGGCTATCTTGGAGCAGGCTTAGGGAGAAAGAATGCAGTCCCGTCAGAGAACGGGCACTGTGAGCTGAGCTGTGCAGAAGGCACAGGCTGCCTGGGTGGGGTGAGCGCCCCACCCCTGGAGGCATTCAAGCAGAGTGAGGTTCCCGCGTGCCCAGGGTGTCATGAGAGAGGGTTAAGCATGGAATGATGGCGCCACTCTCAGCGGCCACCGAGGCTCAAGTCCTGACTCTGATACTGTCGGGAAAGAAACAGAGAAGTGAAAAAGTAAGTTCATAAAGACACATGAGGGTTTCGCACGGTGTGGATGCTGTGGGTGCTGGAAGTGAGGGGTGCAGTGAGGCTGGGGCTGGCTTTCGCCGCACAGGCATTTTACACTTTATGCTGTTGGTTGTATTAAGGTTTTCCTTTTCACTTGTGGATTTTATCCTCACCCCTCCCAGCTCTTTTGGATATAATTGACATATAATGTTGTGCAAGTGTCAGGCATACAGTGTGATGCTTTGATGCACAGATGTATAGTGAAAGAATTGTTACAATGAGGTTGGGTAACACATCCATCACCTCACACAGTTACCACGTTCTGCTCTTGTTTGTGGTGAGAACGTTTAACGTCTACTCTACCCGCGCTTACTCGTCTCATGACGGAAGTTTGTGCCCTTGGCCAATGTATCCAGCCCACCCCACCCCCCTGCCCCTTCCTGGTAACCATTTGACTCTGTTTCTGAGTTTGGTTTTTTCTCAGATTCCTCATACAGGTGATACCACCGTATTTGTCTTTCTCTGTCTGACTTACTTCACTTAGCATAGTGCCCTCAGGGCCCATCCATGTTGTTGCAGATGACAAGGTTCCATTCTTTTTTGTGGCTGAGTAATATTCTCCTATGTGTAAGGATGTATGTGTGTGTGTGTATATTATGTATCACATTTTCTTCATCCAGTCATCCACTGACAGACACTCGGGTTGTCTCCGTGTCTTGCTGCTGTAAAGAACGCTGCGGTGAATATGGGGGTGAAGATACCTTTTTGAGTTAGTATTTTCATTTTCTTCGGATACATACCCGGAAGTGGGATTGCTGGATCACGTGGTTGTGCTGTTTATAATTTTTTGAGGAGCCTCCATACGGCTCTCCACAGGGGCTGCACCGATTTTCACCCCCACCCCCAGGGCGCGAGGAGCCCCTTTTCTCCACAGCCTCGCCAGCACTTGCTGTCTCGTGCCTTTTTGGTAAAAGCCGTCCTGACAGCTGTGCGCTGGTCTCTGGCTGTGCTCCGACTCGCCGGTAGCTGCCGATTCCTGCTGTTGAGCGTCTTTTCACAGACCTGGTGGCCGTTTCTGTGTCTTTGGGAAAACGTCTCTTGGTCTTTTGCCCATTTTTTAGTGTCTCTTTTTGCTGCTGAGTTGTGTGAGTCCCTTATATGTCCTGTGTGATAACCCCCATCAGGGGCATGGCCTGCAGGCACTTTCTCCCACGCCGTGGGCTGCCTCTGCCTTGTGGCGGCTCCTTTGCTGAGTGGAGCTGGCAGTTTGGCGTCGGCCCCTCTTGTCGGTTTTTGCTTTGGTTGCTTGTGCTTTTGGTGTCACGACCAAAGCATCGTCGCCGAGACCAGCGCCAGGGACCTTTCCCCCAGCGATTTCTTCCCAGGAGTTGTGGGTTTTCCCCGTAGCCTTCTGTGATGAATTCCGAACGCCCCTCCCTGCTGCCACTGCTGCTTTCTCAGTCTTGTCCGGTCTGGGTGATTTAGGTCTGGTCCCTCAGAAGCGGAGCTGAGTTGGGGGTTTTTGTGCACGAGGTGGTTCATGTCGGGAAACTGCCCAGGAAGAGGGCAGGGAAGGAGCTGGACGGTGCTCCGGTCCTGCGGGGCTCTGGGTGGGAGTGGCCCCACAGGACGGTCCCCTTTGAGATGGGGCTGGACCCCTGTCACCCATTAGTGGGCCATATTCCTCCCAGCCCCTCCCCCTGGGGTAGACTTGACCTCCCCGGCAGTTCTGCAAAGGACGGTGCACTCGTGAGCCACTAGCGGTCTGCCCGCACAGGCAGCTGGGGGCTGAGTCACCTGCCAGTGTCGGGATCTGGCTGGGCGCTGGCAGCATCTCCGTACCTGCTGACCCAGACACCTGGGAACCCTGCGGCTCCTCCAGGTGGTGACTCTGCCCGTGTTGCCACCCACAGTGTCCACGAAGGACCTGATGGAGACGTGCTGTGCAGCCGGACAGCAGTGGGCCATCGACAATGACGAGTGCCTGGAGATCCCCGAGAGCGGCGCTGAGGGCGACGTGTGCAGGTAGGCGGGGACCCACGCAAGCAGGGCCGCATGTCCGCCGTCTCCGGCCCCCTGCATGCCTGGCCCCGGGCTCCCTAGTGCATGGTGCGCACCCAGGTCACCTGCGTCCAGGTGCACGAGGGTGATGGGATGTGGCTGCTGTGGGCCAGCTGCGGGGAGCCCAGGACTGGTCCCCAGACTGGTGATGAGCGCACACCTGGGAGCAGGTGTTAAGGGGCCACTATCACCTGGGAACAGTTAGGTGCTTCTCTCACCAGGCGTTCAGCCCTCTTTCTTTCCCTGTTTTGCTGCCCTGGGGTCTCCAGAAGGCTGGCCTCCCACCATCCACTGCCGCCCGTGCCCATGGCTCTTCTGACCATGGTGCTCTCAGCAAAGGAGCATTTACACCCCCGCCTCCCTGTGCCAGGCCCAGGAAACGTCCTGGGCAGCCACTCACCCTTTCTTTTTTTAGGAATGCCATCTTTTCTGGCCTTCTGCTCCTCCCAGATAAGGAAGATAAGGTTCAGAGAGGTGATGTGATTCACCCAAAGCCACACAGCTCATCGGGAGGTTGGCCTGGATTAGACCCCACGTTTCCTGATGTCCAGCCCACGATGCCTCCTTTAGAAACATTTGTTTATTTATTTATTTTTCAGCCTCCCTTTTTTTTTTAACTGAAGTAATGTTTATTCACAATGCTGTGTTTGGTTTCCGGTGTACAGCATAGTGATTCAGTTATATATTTATTTACATATACATATATGAATATATATATATATAAATATATACTTTTCATATCTTTAGAAACATTTAAATTCTAGCCTGGTCCCTTCCCCTTCCCTGCGGGCATCCCACCAGCTCGGGCTGCCTGGGCATTAGAGGTTGCACCTTCAGGAGTTCTGAGCTTAGTGGTCTGGTGCTTGCATCCCTCTTGTGACGGGAGACTCACTACCTCGCAGACCGCCAGTTCCATCGTGGGGTGGCCCTTGCTGGGACATGCCCTTCCTCAAGTCGGGCTGAACTCCACCTTTTCACGCCCCCCCGTTTTGTGTGCTGGCTCTGCCCCGGGGCGGCCCTACAGATGGTGGAGTCATGAGCAGGGACCCTGGAGGCGACTCCCCTCCAGGCCGACCCGCCCAGCCCTCCCTGAGATTGGATCTCCCTTTCCTTCTCAGGCTGTGGGGGGCTGGGGGGACTCCCTCCCTCCCTTGCTGGCTGGGGATACTGAGCACAGAGTCCAGTGGGGCCCAGTGGGGCCCAGGCCTGAGTCTTCCTGGTTGCACTGAGAACAAAGCCCGGGTCACTTGTGGGAATGTGCAGGCCTTGCTGATGCCCCTCCCACCAGCACTGGCCCTACCTGCAGTAGATCTTGATGGGGTGTCCCTCCTGGGAGCCGCAGCGTCCTGCTGTGGGGCCTGCGGTCCCTCCTGGAGGGGGTCTCTGGGAGGAGGGGGGCGCTGGTGGGGCTGAGGTGTGCCTCTGTTGCAGGACGGCCCAGAAGCACTGCTGTGTGTCCTACTTGAAGGAGAAGAGCTGCATGGCTGGCGTCATGGGGGCCAAGGAGGGCGAGGCCTGCGGGGATGAGGACAATGACACCTGTGGCGTCTCCCTGTACAAGGCAAGCCGGGCCCCGGTTTGGGCATTAAGAACGCAGAAGTGGGTAACAGGAAAATCCCCGCCTTCATGCTGCTTTCACATTCTTTTCTGTCACTTAGAATACTGTTCCCAAGGTTCATCCATGTTGCAGTATAGGTCAGATGCTCCTTCCTTTTCAGGGCTGAGTAATATTCCATTGTGTGGATGGACCACATATCATTTATCCTTCATCTGTTGATGGATACTTACATTGCTTCTGCCTCTTTGCTGCAGTGAATAATGCTGCTGTGACCGTGGGTGTAAGAAAGCCCCTGTCTTGAGGGCAGACAGTACTCCCACTTACGTCATATTGGCTGGAACTTAGTCTAGTGGCCACCTAGCTGCAGGGAAGGCTGGGAATGTAGTCTGCATTCCTAGAGATCATGTGCCCACTGCACGTTGCAAAGGAGGGAAGACAGACATGGGGGGCCAGCAGCTGGCTGGCTGTGCAGCAGAGGGCGAGGGCAGACTAGGCAGTGGAGTGGTTTCAGGGAATATCACAGAAGGAGGTATTTGGGGGAAGAAAGAGGCAAGAGTTGAAGAAACCACAGTGTCGGGAGCATGCCTGTCACAGGGACCTCAGGAGGAGGGCACCATTCGGCCGACGATTTTGATTTTGGTTTTTGTCACGTTGGGGTCAGTTTTTCCCCAAAATAGCTGATGTTAGGGAAAGGATCTTGGTGATGGGCAAGTTTAGAATTCCATTTGTGTTTATGTGTTTGATCCTGGACCAGTCCTCTTTCCTTAGCCTCAGCTTCTCCATCTGCAAAATGGAGATAAAAATCCCTGTCTTGGGGTGGCCGTGAGGGCCAAGAGGTCCTGCAGACGAAGTGTTTGTTAAGTACACGGATGTGTTCACCACTGGGAGATGCAGTCTGGAGTGTCACTGAGCTGTTGCTGTGTAACAAACCATCCCCAGAGTAGTGGCTCATGCCCAGCTCAGCTCATGAGTCAGGGTGGTTTTGCTGTCCTGGGCCGTGTCCAGCTGACCTTGGCTGGGCTCGCTCACGTCTGCCCCAGCGAGTGGCTCTGTGGCACTAGAAGGTCTAGGACGGCCGCAGCTGGGACACCATTTCTTTGCTCCACGCGGTCACAGCCTCCGGCGGGCTGGCCTGGGCTTGTTCAGGTGGGGGCTGTGCAGGGTTCCAGCACAGGGAGTAGGTGCAGGCAAGGCCTTTTGAGGCCTAGGCTCAGATTGGACATCCTCACTTCTGCCTCATCCTGCCTCCCAGAGCAGATTGTGAGGCACAGTCAAGAGACTGGAAAATGCGGCCTCTCTTTTGAGGGGAGGAACTGCAGACTTGCAAAGACAGTGACAGTGAAGAGTGAACAACTGGGGCTGCTGTTGCAATCACTCTACCACAGTTGTTTAAACAAATTAGACTTTATTTTTGGAGGTAGGCAGTCTGGGACAGGAGTAGATCTACACAATATCTTCTGGCTCCCAGGCTTCTGTTTTTCTGCTCAGTCATCTGTAGCTCGTAGTTTCTATCTTCAAGGTCACCTCATGACCCAAGATAGCTGCTAGAGCTCCAGCCATCACACCTGTTCCAAAAAGGAGGAAGGAGGAGAGCAAGAAAGATATACTTTCAAGCTGCGTCAACCTGGGTTAAAAGCTCTCCTGAGAGCTTCACCCAGTGTCTCTTGTCTCTAACCTCAAGGGACCCTGAAAATGCTGTCTTTTAGGTAGCCTGATTAGACTTGTGGCCTGTTAATAAACATGAGGGTGGTTAGTGGGTGTGGCTGGGGGTTAACTTGTAGTTCTTTTCATGAGAGGCCGTTTATGAATTATTGCAAAAAACTTGCACTAGCTGAGCCCGATGTGGGAAATGGGGACAGATGACACCTCTGTCCTGGAGAGCACATCCCGGGCAGAAGACACAGACAGGGGTGAATTGCTCCCACTTATCAGCCCCTCCCCTGAGCCAGGGGCCCCGAGTGAGTCCCAGGGGCTTGCAGGCCATGGGGAGGGCCCTGAAGGGCCAGGCTGGGCAGTGACAGCGAGTCTCTCTCCAGCAATGCTGTGACTGCTGTGGCCTGGGGCTCCGCGTGCGGGCTGAGGGCCAGTCGTGCGAGTCCAACCCCAACCTGGGCTACCCCTGCAACCACGTGATGCTCTCATGCTGTGAGGGCGAAGAGCCCCTCATTGTACCTGAGGTGCGCCGACCTCCGGAGCCTGAGGCTGCGCCACGGAGAGGTGGGTGCTGTTCCCCAGGCCAGGCACATAGGCCAGATGGGTGATGGGGGAGAGCTGCTGGCTTCCAGGCAAGGCTGGGTGCCCTCTGGCCTTCTGCGGGGACCCTGGTCCACCTTCATCTATGGCTTGAGGCACAAGATCTGCTCTGGACTGAGTTCTGTGACCTCTGATGATGAACTCTGCCCTGTTATTTCTGACATGGTGACCTCATTCAGTTTTCTACTCACCGTCCCCTCCCCCAGCCACCTACCACCCATCTCCCTCCACTCTCCACCCACCTCCCTCCACTCTCCACCCACCCATCCTCCTATTTCTTTGTTCCCCTACACATCCATAGTCTTCCTCCCCATCTGCTCGTCCACCCATCCATTTCACTCATCACCACCCCATCCTCTGGTCCATCCTCCACCACCCGTCACCCCATCCACCCATCCATCCATCATCCATCATCTATCTGTCATCCATCCATCATCCATCATCTGTCATCCATCCATCCATCATCCATCCATCCACCTATCCATCCATCTTTCATCCATTGATCCTTCATCTATCCATCCTCCATCCATCCATCCATCCACCCTTCATCCATCATGCTGTCTCAGCTGAGTACACAGAAGGTTCTCATGGGGACCTGATCTGATTTCCCGAGGGCCTGTGGTCTCAGCCACTTGCTGGGGCCAACCCGACTCCCGTGATGAGTGCGGACCCTGCCCCAGTTTCAGAGGCAGAGTTGGCGAGCCGGGAGGCGCTGTCGCTGGGCACGGAGACTGAGCTGCCCAACAGCCTGCCTGGCGACGACCAGGATGAGTGCCTGCTTCTCCCAGGGGAGCTGTGCCAGCACCTCTGCATCAACACCGTGGGCTCCTACCGTTGTGCCTGCTTTCCCGGCTTCTCGCTGCAGGATGACGGCCGTACCTGCCGCCCAGGTGAGGCCCAGATGGTTGGGGCAGGAGCTGGCGCAGGGATGGACCTTGGCAGCAGAAGGTGGTGCTCTTGGCATGAGGACTGTGGGGTACTTCCCCTCCCACCACCCCAAACGTTGGAACCCACAGGTGCCAGGGGTCCCCAGCGTTGGGTTTGTGAGGCCAGGCAGACCGTCTCCTTCCTGGAGCTCCAGCTGCAGGGCAGCCCCGGCACCCCACCCTGGACTCAAGTGCAGGGCCAGGACCTGGGCCACAGAGGCCCCACCAGCCCAAGCTGTGTTCCGAGCACTCCCCAGCAGGCAGCCCAGGAGTCTGCCCCACCGCCTGGTCCACTTGAGTCTAGACAGATTCGTTTGAATCTAGAAACTCTTCCTTCTCCCTGCCTCCCCCTACCCCACCTCTGCCCTGAATTGCTGTGAGATGGATTCTGTCTGAGCTACGTTCCTCCCTGAGCCTCAGTTTCCTCCCCAGTGAGGTGGGTGTGGGGGATGAAACGAGGCTCCCTCTGCCAAGTGCCCGGCTTTGGCACCTGTTGGGGCCTGGGGCCTGAGGCCTGGCTGAAGACGTGCAACCCGCCTCCTGTCTGCTCTGCCTGTGATAGATGATGGCCCACAGCCGGAGGCTGCAGAGGAGTCTGCACCGAGGCCCAAGCTGCCCCAGGCGGCTCCCAACACCATCGCGCTGCCGGTGCCACAGCCCAACACCTGCAGAGGTAGGTGGGCCGCGGGCAGGTGGTGAGCCCTGCGGGGCTGGGTGTGTGCAGGGCTGCCCGGCCCAGGGCTGCCTCTGCTCTGGGGATCGCCTGGCCCTGCCGTGTGGGGTCGGGCGAGGAGCTGAGAGAGACAGAAATCAGAGCACAGCCTGGGGAAAGCATGGTGACCCCACGATGGCCGTCAGCTACTTCTGATCTCAGTTCCTGTCAAGCTGAGAGAATAAAAGCCTTGCCTGCCCACGCGCCAGGGAGCCTGCGTTCCGTGATGCGTAGAAAGTTCTCTTTGTTCTTCCTCCCCCTGCCCCCTTTCCTGTGCTTCAGTTCTGTGTCTCATCACTGTGACTTGAAGGAGGGGTTTGGTGGGGGTGGAGGCAGACCCAGAACATGGTCTCAGACGCCAGCCGCGGGACGAATTTAAGGGGTGACCTTGTAAAGAGGGTCTGGAATGAGGTGCCTTGGCTCCCAGCCCCTCCACCTGGAGGCTGGAGCCTGGGGTGCTGGGCCTGGTGGGCTCTCATTTCCGTGTGCTTTCCTCACAGACAACGGGCCCTGCAGGCAGGTGTGCAGTGTCGTCGGGGACACAGCCATGTGCTCCTGCTTCCCCGGCTATGCCATCATGGCGGACGGCGTGTCCTGTGAAGGTGAGTGCACACCTG